GTGGGGACAAGGACCTTTGACTTTACGAAGTCGGGTGACCAGAAAGCAATCTTAATTGATTTGACCTTATCTCCTAGTGTAGATATGGCCTCCGGTGTTCTCTCTCTCACACACTCATTCACACACACTCAGTTGCCTTATTCATTTCATCCTGCCCTGGAGCACTTTCTACACAAACATTTTAGTTTTCCACTTAATATTCTCATTCATCTCAGATAGCACTTTCTCTGCTCTTGTTGATCACCGTGTATTTGACCAGCCAACATAGCACTAAGTCTCTGGAAGGGGCTCACATATTAAAGTGTGGATCATAATGGTCTCAATAACATTATGTCTAAAACAAAAAAGACAAAACCCAGTTAATTCCATAAGACATCGTTGGTCTATTTATTATTAAAAGTGAATTGAAACTTATTATGTTACAAACCTAGACTTTGAGCTCTGTGGGGCAGAGACTGTCTTTGTTCCTCTTGTTTGTACAGCACCTCCCACAGTGGGGATCTATTTCCTCAACAGGCCTGTACGCATTAGTGCAATACAAATAAATATGCCCTTGTTGATTTTCTATTGTGCTGATGCCTGAGTTCATGAGCTGTTACAACATCGATGGAGATTTCCAAAACAAGTCTGGGGTTTCATTTTAGATCTACACCAGAGGTATTGGGAGGGGAGTTCGCCTTTGAGTCCACACAGAAAAAGAATTGTTGTAGGACAGGTACCAGACTGACAGCCTTGAAGACTGATGTCATCTGTGCACAGAAATGGAACAGCATTAGCAGCATCGGGGTAAGCATCCCTCACACTGCCCTACAAAGACACCCCAAGCTTGCCTTAGAAAAATCATCCCGTAAGCACAGGGCAGGAGTCTGTCTCAGCAGAGACAAGACTCAACATCACCCATGCTAATTCTATGGGAGATTTCAGCCCAAAAGCCACAATAATACATCTGCTCCACCCCCAGCACCTTCTGCTCACTGGCAGCCCTACTGACCAGTGCCTCTGTCTCCCCATCTCCCCATGCCGCCTGCCAGCAATAAGCAGTTGATTTGAAGTGTTCAGGAGGCTCTGGGGAGTGGTGTGGGCCTGTGAGGAAGGAGCAGAGTGGGGGCAGAGCAGTGAGCACTTTGGAAAGTTGGCACTTGTGGCTCCAGCCCCAGAGCCTGCACCTATTGAAGGAGCCGCATATTAATTTCTGGAGCCACATGCAGCTCCGGAGCCACAGGTTGGCTCCCACACACCTCCCCCACGCTAAGGTTTTCTATTTATTAGCAGATAATTGCCTCATTCTCTGCAGCTGCAGTTGCTCCAGCCTACAAGCCACTTGGCAGGTGGGTTCTGCTTTGTGCGTGTGTGCTCTGTTCCTTTTTTAAAGGTAAGTGCTCACAGGGCCATGCCAGACACAAAGCAGCCACATGGAGTGCTGCGAGGCACTCGTTTACTTCAGCTTAGTTGGTCAAGAAAATCCTGACGTCGTAGGAGGCTTGGCTCAGGCTACCACTGACTGTAAAGTGACGGTTACTCCACAGATCACCTGTGTGTAATCTACACTGCAGTTGGAAACAGACTGGCCAACCATTGGATTTTCTGCCACTAAATAACATGGGCCAAGTTAAACTGAGAAACAAAAGACTCACTGGAGAACCTCAATGACCCAAAACTCAAAAAAGAGTCCTGCAAAAAGTGGAAACCAAGTCAAATTACAAAGGATGACTAGAGAAACAAGCATGGAAGAACAAAGATAGAAAGGCCAAGGCACAAAATGAGATTAAACTAGCTAGGGACATAAAGGATAACAACAGAGACATTTTACAAATACATTTAAAAGCAGGAGGAAGACCAAAGAGAGTAGGCCATTTACTCTGTGAGGCGAGAAATACAGCAACAGAAACTTTTGCCCTTGCTGAAGAGTTAAATGCCTTTTTTTTTGTTTCTGTTTTCACCAAAAAAGTAGCAGTAGTCAGTCAACTAACATAGTGAACATCAATGTAAATGGGACAAAATCTGAGGCTAAAATAGGGAAACAACAAGTTAAGGATTACTTAAACACAGTAGATGGCTTCATGAAATACATCCTAGAATACGTAAGGAACTGGTAGAGATCTCTGAACCATTAGTGGTAATCTTAGAGAACTTACAGAGGACAAAAGAGATCACTAGTGCCTGGGAAAGGACAAATATAATATAGGGAACTAGGGGGCTGCACCTCCAGCTTGCTGCACTCACCAACCCCCCTGTTGCGGGGGGCAGGCAACCCCAGCTTTCCCCCGGCTATTGGGGAGGGCCCCTTCTCCCTCCCCACTCTGCCAGCCTGGGCCCCTTCACCACCCTCCCTCCCTCCCCCCGCCTCTGCAAGCCTGGCCTTTTCTCTCCCTCCCCCTTCTGCCACCTGGTACTTTCTGTCCCTCCCCATAGCCCACCCTCACATGGATCCTCCTGCAGGTGCCTCAATCAGTTGTTTTTAAAACAGCAGCTGCCCTCCACGTGGTGGCTGCCAGAGCTTCAGCCCAACACCGTGCAGCAGCTCAGGGGGCCGGGGCATACCCCAGTCCCAACCCCCCACATAGGCTTCACCACCACCCACCCGCTCGCCCCCTGCTCCTGTCCCCTCCCCGTCCTTCCCCCACAAGCTCAGCAGCAGCTTACATTCAAGGTGCAAGGGTGGTGAGTGCAGCTGTTGAGGAGGTCAAAGAGCCATATTTAGATTTCTCGTGAGCACAGGTTGCTGACCCTATTATGAGGTTATCAGCAGAGAGGAGAGAGGGAGGAGGCTGGGTATCTGGGGGAGGAGGGGCAGTGGGACACAGAGTGATGTGATGATGTCACTCTGTCATCTCGCAAGAAATGTTTTTTTTCATAGGTATAGTAAGATAATGACAACCCAGGGAACTATAGATAAGTCAGTTTAACTTCAATACCTAGAAAGATAATGTTGCAAATCTCTCTCTCTCTCTCTCTCTCTGAACTCTCTCGAATCGAGTAAGATTTCCCCTTGGATACCTATAACTGATGTGTACGTGGATGGGAAATTAGGCCAGTTCTGGCAAGAAACGCTCTCTGGCAGTGTCTGCATGGGAGGTCTCTATCTCCAGCAGTGCCAACACCAGCAGAACCAATACGGGTCTGGACACACTCCTTACATCAGGCTCTCTGATCTTCTGCATGGAGACATCGCTTGATCTCAAAATGTTGGGCAGTGTTCTTGATGGTGGTCCTCTAGGTTACCTGATCCTTCACCTGCCTCTCCCAGGTGTCTGCATCAGTGCCACTGTTTACCACAGTGTTCTTAAGAACGTCCCTGTAGTTCTTCCTCTGCCCACCACAAGACCTCGCCCCAGTTCTCAGCTGTGTGTAGAAGATCTGTTTAGGCAAACATGTGTCAGGCATCCTGACCATGTGACCAGACCACCATAGCTGCCTGTAGGTGATTATTGCCTTGATGCTGCAAGAATCAGCCTCTGAGGAGATATGAACGTTGGTCCGACTGTCCTGCCATGTGATGCCCAATATTCTCCATTGGTGGAATTTCTCAAGATCTTTAATGTGTCGTCTATAGGGAGTCCACTCTTCAGCTCCATACAGCAACGTTGGGATGACTATGGCAGGGGTGGCCAATCCGCAGCTCTCGAGATGTGGCTCTTTGCTTAAAGAAAAATGGCTCTCAGGGTTATGGCTCCTTCACAGCCATGTGCTCAGACTGCTCACGGCCGCTCTGCGCACATGCCCCAGTGCCTGGAGGAGAAGCCTGTGGCTACGGTGGCAGCTCTGGTGAGACCTAGGCATTGAGTTAGAGTGAGAGGGGGTTGAGGGTGCCTGGCTCTGCTGCAGTGGCATAGTGACGGGAGGGTGGGGGGGAGGCAGTTGCCCCTGGGTGCCATGCTAGGGGGACACCGGACTGGGGGGAGCGCATAGCCCCACGCAGCGAGCCCAGCACTGGCGGACCACTTGCTCCCTGCAGACAAGCTGCTGAGGCTGGGCTGGGCAGCAGGAGCGGGCACTTCAAAGGCCTGCCTGGGAACCCAGCACTGCTGGGTGGGTCATTGGGTTGGAGCAGGAGGGGAGAGGGGGGGCTGGGAGAGCCTGGCTCAAGGGGCTGGGTATGTGGTTCTTTGCACTTCTATCCACAGCTATTTTGGCTCTTAGTGTCTAACTGGTTGGCCACCCCTGAACTATGGCATTGTAGATGTCAATCTTGGTCTGTGTCTTGATGTCACGGTCATTGAAGTCTCATCTCCGTAAACATCCATAAACTGCACTGGCACTGGAGATTTGATGGTGGATTTAATTGTCTATGTCAGCATTGCTGCACAGATCGCTTCCGAGATAAGGGAAGCTGTTGACATTCTCCAACTCTTGGTCGTCCACCGTGATGCAAATGGGTTTGTCAAGAATAAATGTCCAACCAACCCAACATCCTTCTTTGACAGCCTTGTGGATGGGAGTGAGCTGGGGGAAAGCAGTAGATGTGATAATCTTGATACTGTCTCACATGAACATCTCATAACCGAATTAGGGAAATATAACCTAGACAAACGTACTCTAAAGTGGTAAACAACTGATCGGAATAACCATACTCAGAGGCTACTTGTCAGTTATTTGCAATCAAGTTGGAAGGGCGTAGTGAGCGGGGCACCACAGGGCTTGCTGGCAGCCTGTGCCAAACAATTTGGGAGAAATACCATGATGAGACCCTTCCAATGTTTTCCTGATGAAAGGAGCCTTGTGGGGGGATTCCTGGAGTCCCAGATATAGCCGTAGGAACCAAATCTGCACTCAGTTTGCATCCAGAATTCCCACTGATGCCAATGGGAGTTGTAATGTATAAGGAACACGGGATCAACCTCTTAGAGAGCTTTACTGAATTCAGGACATGATAAAGATCGATATTTTTAAATCACTAAGCAGGGTAACTTGCCTCACAATCCGATATGCTTCAAAAAATCCTAAAATACAAAGGAGACATTCTTTTTTCCCTTTGGCCACTGGGATTGTTTGAACTGCCTCTAAGCCCAGGATCCTGCATTAGTCCCAGCCCATGGTGGAATTCTTGCTCCCTCTTCTCTGGAATGCTGTGAGTGAATCTGGAAGGATTTCTTGAACAGACATTTTTGATTAAAGCCCCTGTTAAGAAGGCTGTCTCGGCAGATCAACGCTTCTCCAGATCCACGCGGTCAGGAAAAGCAGCAGAATGGAGTTTCGAGGTGCCTGCTTGCTTCTGTGCCTCTTTTGCCTTGTGCAGGCTACAATTCAGCAAGCCCCCACACTCAAACAAAGGCCGGTGAGCACCAAGAAAGGTAGGGAGCTGGGAAGATTTATTTGGTGGGCCTGTATATAACAGCATTTTGTCAACATTATTCAACACACATATAGCCTTTAACAGAGCAGCAGCTTTTTTCTACAGGAGTTTTAACCCATCCTGTAGAATTCTATACCAAGGATATTTAAACTCTATTGCTTGGTTTTAAAAATGAGAAAATCCCCCCAAAAGTTATTGTCTTCTATTACATTCTACAGGACGTCCCCATAGTTAATGTTTGTTCTAAAGTTCAGATAGCAAGATGCTATATGTTATCTCTACGTTTCTACCATTTTTTCCTGCATTATAATATCATTGTATTGATCTTTAATCTCTCCCATTCCATTTTAAGGGGAAAATAAATGACAGAAAGGAAAGAGTTGATGTAGATTCAGAGGCAGAGTAGACAGAATATTTACTCTGAGAAATAGAGTAAGTAAATCATTTCTATGATTATATAACTTTATTAACAAATACCAGCACTGGTCTCCAAATTCTATTTTAAAACATTTGCTTCGAGTCTATATTAAGTTATATGCTAGATGCATGTAGTAAGAGTAATCATTAGCAGATACTGTATAGAAAAATAAATGCACAGAGTTCGCTTACTTTATTTCTGCAAAGTACAAATAACTTAAGGATGACTCGGGTGAGTAACATAACTACTGTGAATTCACTCCAGTTTCACAGATGTATCATATAGTTGTTGCAGATATTTTAATAGCTTTAAACATGGGATTTTCATCTTGGAGCAAATTTGAAAGTACAAGATGTTTAAGCAAACTATTTGCTTCACCAGTCATTTTCTGTAGCCTCTTCCCAGTTTGGTTATTTTTCATTAGAAGTTTGTTTCAGAATGAGAATTTTCTCTATCTTTTCCTTTTGCTTGGATTTTCAGTCAAGTCCCTACTCATGTTTATTTTTTAAAAAATATTGAAGTCAGGATCCAAAGCATTGTAGACTCACAACATCTCTGTGTGTGGGTGGGTGTGTTGCATCACCACACTCCACTAACTTGGATCAGCAGGTGCATTTGTGTTTCTTAAACATTTTTTCTTAGCTCAGTATAACAATGAATTTTTTTCTTTGTTATTGTTTGCAGACACCTGGGCTCTTCAGTAGGGTAGGTTACACATTTTCCATCACATTTTTTTCCAGCAGAATGAAAAAATTTTAATCCTCCTAAATTTTCATCTGCTTCTCAAAACTTTTTGGCCAAAGCAACAACAATTTTCACTCTGACCTTTTTCAGCCAAAGATTTTTTTTTAGTATTATTATTTTAATGTGGGATATGGATGTTTTAATCGAATCAACATGTATAAGGGTGATGGCTACCAGGTATGCCACAGAGTGGCACTCTGATATGTCAGGAGTGATGTATAACATGTTTGTATCTGTGTATAAAAATGTACCTTAAGGGGGCTGTCCTTGTCTGACCTAGGGAGCAATGGAAACTCCCACCACTGACTGAGCTGGTCCATTAGCAGGGGGCACATATGTGTAGAGTCTGAGGGCAACTATTCCTGTGCTTTATTTGGCAATAAACCTGGCCAGGTGCCTTTATCCCTTATCTGATTTTGTTCCATACAGGGTTTTCTCAGGGGCTGTTGTGCTGGCTATCTGTACAGAGTCAGGGCAGCACACTGGGAGCACATGCATGCAGCCAAATGATTATCAACATTTGACAGAGCAAGATATCTGCCAGGACACCACATCGGTGACATCTGACAACAATTACCTCCCTGGAAAGCTTTCCCCACTAATAAGACTGGTCAGCATTTTTCAGATTTCAGCAAAGAAAGGAGAGAAAAAAAATTACAAAACTAATTTTTTTTAAAGTGTGTAAATTGGTGACCAATCAGCTCTACATTCAGGGGTGCTGGAACAATTTGTATAGGGGGGGCAGAGCTGCTAACAGGAGGAACAAATATGGCAGCTGCCTTGGGGCCCACTGATTTAAAAGGGCCCAAGGCTGCCACTGCTGCTACCATGAGCAGCAACAGTGGCTGGAACTTGGCACCCTTTAAATTGCCACCAAAATGCCAGGTGGCAGGGGCCGGGCAGTGTTGAAGGGCTGATTGGGGGAGACTAGCACTCAATGCACCCCACCCTCTCTAGGGGACCAGTGCCACCCCCCAACTTTGCCTGAGGGCCCAGCAATTCCGTCAGCAGCTCTGGGTCGGGGTGTTGAGAGCTGTAGAACCTATAGAACTCATTGCCACAGGAAGTTAGGAAGGCCAGGAACTTGACTCAAAGAAGAACAGGGTATTTATCAAGACTATCAGCGTTATCAAAATTAATGACAGAAAAAAAGGACAGGGAATATTAAAGCTTATGCATCACAGCTCAAGCCAATCTCTCTCATGGATCAGGATAAGATCTTAGTGGGGGTCAGTTTATTGCGCATCTGCCTCCTGCAGGGTCCTCATGCTAGTTTCTGAAGCATCTCGTTCTCATCCTGTAGGCAATTCATATGTTCCTATTGGTGGAGTGGGTGGAAACTGCTGAACAAATTGGAGATCCTAGAGTATTTCCCAATGGTCAGAGGCAGCACTGTAATAACACAAAGGGCTAGAGCAGTGCACAATCAGCAAGACTTTAATCTCTGGGGAGTCATAAAGTTTTCCCTTCATTTCCATTTATGACATTTACAGAGGGAGAATTTTTGGCTCCAGCATCACATTTTTCTCTCTTTTGTAAGATTGCTAGCTCTGTTTTTAAAGAGCTACAGTACGGTTCCAGAACATGGTTATAGCGTGACTTTGTCTTGTCTATGCAGACAAGAGCAAATAGTGCTATATTCACGATCATGTTCTAATACCGTTCCCTGACAGTGCAAAACCCATAGTGAAGGGTGCTATGGCCCAGTAGTTAGAACTTTAGTCAGGGGCTTCGGAGACTAGCATTCAATTCCCTTCTCTGCTATCCGCTTTGGCAAGCCACTGTGCATGCATCTATGCTGCAGCAGGAGGTGCAGTTGTGCTCATATAAGCATACTAATGGCAGCTTTAATCTACCTAGTGAAGACACAGAGGCTCAGACTCCAACATTCCCAGGATTCCAGCAGACTTTGTCAGCCGGTGCCACCGTCTTGCTACCTCTTCCCCCCTCTCCCTTGGTAGCTAGATTAAAGACTGAGTGACTGTGCCTACCTGTGCTGCAACCCCTCCCCCCACCATTGCAGTGGAGACATAACCTTAGCCCTTCTCTACACTACCAGTTACTTCGGTATAACTTGCATCTCTCAGTGGTGTGAATAATGTACCTCCTGAGCAACGTACATTACTCCGACCTAAGCGCTAGTGTGGACAGAGCTTCCCTCTCTGGAGGTATGTCTCCACTGCAGGGTTTTTCCAGAAAAACAATACTTACATCCACACTGCTACTGCGTTCTTTCAACAAAGTTGAAAGAACAGAAGGGTTTTTCCAACAGCAGTAAACCTCATTCTACGAGGAAGAAGCCTTTTTCCGAAAAAGGCGTGTGTGGACGGGGAGGAGGGGTGTTTTTTTGAAACTGGCTGTGGTCCGGGCCTGATTTGTTACTCAAGTATGTAGTGAAGGAGGCAGAAGATTGCAGTAAGCAGAAGGATGGCCAGCCCCAAAGTTAAAAATGTTGAATGGTGCCTTGGAGAATTGGACTCTAACCCAGCCTAAATCCCTGGGCAAGTCACTTAAACCAAACTTTTCAGAGTTGGTTGTCAGGTTTTGTTTGTTTTCTTGTTGCCAGATTTGCAGAGGTGCCCGGAACTTCTGACTGCCGCTAAAGTCAACAAGTGCTGTGCTTTGAAAAATAAAGTACAAATTACCAACTTTTCTAAAAAAAAAGTCAGTCCATAAGTGTCTTAAATGGAGCACTCAATTCAATGGAGACTTTTGAGAATGTTGGCCTTAATCTCTCTGTGCCTTTCATTCCCCCCGGTAAAATGAGGACACCACCACTACCTCCCCTCACAGAGGAGAGAAACTCATTAATGTTGATAACGTGCCCAGGTACTATGAGGATAGCACTATAGATATGCCCAGAAAGAAATTAATCATCTTGCAGTCAGAGTAGGGCTTGAATGGTGTACACTAAGTAAGTCTTGAGGCCACATATTTAATGAGGAGAAATACTGAATAATGATCCATCACTGATTGAGGCAGGGGCGTTGTGGAAAACTAGTACACGATCACATAATTAAAGACTGCATCACAATGCATCTGCACAAGGAAGCCATACCAAGGTTGCACAAACAACCTTAAATCTGCCATTGCCTAGCATGCGCGTGCCTGACTTTGCAACCTCAATGTTCTTTAATAATTTTTTGTGTGATTAAAAATTAGACTCCCAGGACATCTTCCCTTCTAGATCCTGAAAACTCTTTAGCAACATTAATGAATTTAGGACTGCACTGGAAAGTTAATTTGGATTAAGGTAGGGTATGAATTTAAAATCCATCAGCTGTTCCTGAAAAACTCCAGAAAGAGAGTGTCTTGTTCCTGTTTAGCTTAATCCACCTTCAAACATCTTACGTCCCTTTTCAGTACCTTACCTACATGATCTTGAGCTAACCTAGAAGAAGGCATTTGTATGTAAACGTAAGTCTCCATACAGGGCCTTATTGAAGACTTATGGCCTGTGCAGATAAACTTTAAGGTTCACAACACCACTTGAGGGAGAGCCTTTGCAGATGGGGGACACGACGTAAATAGGAATTAAGACAAGGAACTTCCTCAAAACCCACACATGCTGTTTGTGGCAGAGCCAAAAATAGAAGCCAGATCTCCTGGGATTTGGCCGTAAAACCACCCTTCCTCTCTTCATGTTAGTGTGTTGGTTTAAAGCTAATAGCCAATACATTTCTAGGGAAGCTTCCTTGCAGAAACCCTGTATTAATGAGAAGTTTCCCCATACAGTGTTTTCATCAAAAAGGCACCAAAATAATAACTAATACTTCAGTGTTAATGGAACCCATTAAAGTTAATGAGCAATGATTAAAGCAGCTTCATACACTTCTCTTGATGTTTTGTTTCCTATTCCTGACACATTATAATCTTCTCCGCTCCCATGTTTTACAGGGACTTTCAACACTGCTTTCCCACTGAGCTCATGCAGTAGCTCTGCTTACCTAATTGATTCATCATAGTTGCCATTTCCAGCATAGACCTGGCCTATGGTTTGCGTGTGTAGATTGTCACATTTGCTTTTGTCCCATCGGGTTCCCATTAAAAACAAAATACATGTCTGACAGGACAGGCCTAGAAATAGTTCTTTGGGCACAGCCATATAAATACAGAGAATATCAAGCCCTTAATTGTTATGTTTGCTGCAACACCAAACGGAGGCAGCTCTATTATTTCTAAAGGAGAGTACCAATTAGTAGCTGGTTACAGCAGTTGCAATTACTCTAAGTCAGAGATCAGTGACATTAACGATAATGGCACATTTAATTACATGGGAAATGGCTTCAGTAGAGTGACAAGATTAGATAACAATCTTTAGTACTCTCCTATCACTCCAAATGGCCATACTGCCCCCGGTCCCAGAAAACCCCACAGAGGCACAGAAAATCAGTAGGGAACCCTCATGGCGTCTCCACTGGATCAGTTCTTTGGTGAGAGAGAGGGGTGTAAGCTCCATGGATGGAGCCAATGGTCTGGTCTCCAAAAACAGGCTTCCCATTTTTAACAGTGAGGGTCAGTACCCATCTGGAGTAGAGCTCAGACCAGCTGTTTGTCATAGCCCCTTCTGGTCTTAAAATCCACGAACCTCATGGATCACGAAGGCCACCCCTGAGGGGACACTGTAGCTTCTTTCTCTCTCACACATCTGGCGGGCCATCTCCTGCAGAGCTAACTCACACAGAGAAGGGGAATTTTCTGGGAATGTGCACATGGCAGGGGAAGGTGAGATTTGCAACTTGGGGAGGCCTACTCCAGCTACCTTTTGTCTACTTAGCTACTAAAATCAGCAGTGAAGACACAATGGCACAGGCTTGTTACTGAATACAGAGTCCAGTTTCTGATCTCTGTCATGACATTCAAAACGCTCTATGGGACTAGCCCTAGCTACCAGTGAGACTTCTCTCCCAGCATGACATGAGAATTGTGCACCACTGGAGCAACAGAAGCATCTTCCAGCCTGGGGCTGGGGGCATGATCATGGAAGACAGAATTCTCCCAGCAGCTGAGCCAAAGCTCCAGGTGTGCCAAGAGACAACAGCCATTCCAGGACTCATTCTCTTCAGAACTAAATGCAAAACTCCTCTTTCTCTCTTGAAAAGTTCATCACACACCCCACTTCAAGAAAATGAACTCACTGTTGTCTTTATGGAAAAAAGCAAGAGCGTAAGATTTGGGGTGGGGTGGAGGAGATAGCCATTTGGAGGGGCTCAGGAAGTATGTAAATTGGAATCATTAGATAAAATAAAACACATTGGCAGGAGAGCAGGGAGAAAGGGTGGACACTGGTTCAAAGGCTTCTTTAGGGGGACTTTCAATAGAAAAGTGGCTGAATATGGAGTTACAGGAGAAATGAGTTTAAAAACCTGCAGGCTAGTCTGTGTGTAAAGATTGTAATGGATCTGTTCTCCAAAACAGAGATTCCAGGCTAGAGCCTCAGTTGGCGTCATTTGCCATGGCTCCACCCATTTCAATAGAACAACGCCTTCTGAGGATCAGTGCCCAGATATTTTTTGCTTGAGTTGCCATTAGTTGCCATGATCTATTGTTTGAGCTCCTGCTGACCTTGCATATTTGAAGTGGAAATATCTGGCAAAATACAGTGAAAGCTTTATTAGCTGGCATTTCATGGGGAATGGAGGTTGCTGGTTAATTGAACGTGCCAGATAACAACACTTATTGCTCTGCCACCGCTCTTTACAAGCAGATCTGGCTCCCAGCAGCTGGAAGCAGACTGAGTGGAAAGGAGGCACCAGCTGATGTCAGCCAGCAGTGCCAGCTGTCAGAAACCCCCACAACCGCCGGCTGCTCAGGCGCAAGTCAGGCACGCACACCTGAAGATACAGCAGTATTGTACAGGGGGCAATGCCAGTTAAAGCTTTCCAGTTAACAGTGTGCCAGATAACAAAGCTTTCACTGTAAAAAGGATAAACTAGGCCAGCCCTGCAGCCATGTCGAATCTCCCACGTTTGTGTCTTGGGCTTCCAAGACAGCAGGAGCTAGGAGTGCTGGCAGGAAACCGCACGCAACTCCAGAGGTGGGGGCGGAGCAAGACTGAGCACCTCACACTGTCCACCTGAATGGAAGCTGAGAACAGGGCTGACAGACTCTGGTGAGCACCCAGTACTCCATCAAGAGTGGAAGAAAAAGGCTGCTTGAGCATAGATAAGACTCTTACAGGGACCTCACCCTACGATGCACAATAATTGTTCCCAGAGCCCATTCTTCCCCTAAGAATCTCTGTTGGGTGGAATTCACTACCTGAACTTTTTTTCATCTTCATTCATACGTGTAACCATGGGTGGTAGTGGTTTCTCACTCACACTTTGGTATCAGGGCCATCCTTAGGATATATGGGGTCATATGCAGTACTATTAAACTGGTGCCCCTCTGCCTGTTGGCAGCCGGGGTCTGGGGTGGGGGAGAGATTTTTTTAGAGATGTGATTTTTTTAATGAACAGCAACACACTAATGCAATATTTAAAAGCAAATTTTAAACTAAGCTCCTGTAGATACATTCAGAAACTGACAGTATATACCTGGGGTTGACAAATGCTTGTTAAATGGCTTCCTTACCACCTAAATGGCTCTTGCACAGTGTTAATGTTCTGCTAATAGGTCTGGCAGACTTTTTCACTTTTAAGTTAACTAGATCCTCTCTGGAGGACGTGAAGCCATAGAATAGAGATAGGAAGAGTTGGGTGGATGGACATGAAGACCCAGCGGTGCCCCAAACTGAATGACACCTGCATATTCTGTGTATGGGCAAAGACGTTACTATTCCCATATTAGAACTGTATAGTGGAGTAAGTGTAACCCACACACCTATTGGGAGTGGTTCACCGTGCCATGTGGTGGTCCTGAGACCACTCACAAAGAGAAAGAATGAATGTGCTCTACACAATGTGCTTAGCTCAGAGGCAGATGGCTTTTAGCTCAAGTGGTAGAAACTGATGCACTAAGCTCCAGAGGTCCCAGGTGTAGTTCCACCAGTCAGCATTACGTAAGCAGTCTCTAAGGGTATGTCTACACTACATTCCTCTTTTGAGAGAGGGAGGCAAATGCAGCTGAGCAAAACTGCAAATAAAGCACTTCATTTGCATAAGCACGTATGGGCTCTTTTTCGAAATACCCTATTTTGAAAGAAAAATGCAGTCTGGATGGGATATTAAAAAACAAACAAACCTTCTTTCGAAATAACACTTAAACCTCGTTTTTAAGGAGTAAGGGTTATTTCAAAAGGTTTTTTTCCCAAAATAACCTGTCTAGACTTTGTTTTTTCTTTCGAAATAGGGTATTTCGAAAAAGCGCCCGGACATGATTATGCAAATGAAACACAGAAAATTCAAATCCACGCTTCATTTGCAATTTTGCTCAGCTGTATTTGCATTCCTCTCTCAAAAGAGGAACACAGTGTAGACATACCCTAAGTGCCCAGAAGTGAAACTCATAACAGAGGACATGAATTTTAGTAATAGATTGAACTCAACCACACAAGCAGGAGCCAGTGTTCTCTAAGCAGGAGAAACCAAGTCTAGGCAGTTTTAAGCAGCTCCACCAAGGGTACGGAAGGTTGATATACTCAGCTAACAAAGACACACTGGGGAAGCATTACACCATTCAAACGCACTGCCAATGAGCAGAGAACACTTGCCGAGAAGCTTCAGAGAATGTGTTAATCCTTTGGCATCTCAGGGATTAGGTACAAACCAAATAATTCTTTCAAGAAGGAGCCAGAAACATTCTGTAAGGACTTCTTCGATAATGCCCTTCAGGTTGTTTTAGTGATGCAGGAAATTGATCCAAAGCTCAATGAAATCAATGGAAGGGCTCATATTGACTTCAGTGGGCTTTGGCTCGGATCCACAATTCCACACATTGCCCCTTTCCTATCCCAAAGTAGTAGTCACTCTAGACTCACAAGATGCCAGTGTATATAGGCCATTATAATATAGATGCAGTGACAGGTGGTCAGCATAAATAAAATGCATTGTGAAGCCACTGTGTTTTAAGGAGTCTTTTTTTGAAGGTGAGAGAAGGAGCTCTGATTACATTAATAACCTCTGAGGCATTCATTGGAGGTTCATGAGATGTGTGTGCTCATCTCTTGATTTGTTCACCAGATGGTGTGAGCCTCAAAATGATTGAAGATCTTAAGGCTCTGATTGACAACATCTCCCAGGAGGTGGCTTTACTGAAGGAAAAGCAAGCACTTCAGACAGGTAAAGAGCTCATTGATGACTACACAGTTATTGCTTTGAGATTGGTGCTAATTAAACCATGGTTACAAGTTCTCTGTACATGTTGACAAGAGTGTTAAAAGAGATCCTGTTGCATTTGGGCTAGAACTCCATCATTAATGAAGCATTCACAATTAGATTAATGTTATATGTAGTATTTTCACAACATTTCCAGACAGCTACAGCTGCTCAGACTTTTAATAGTATTAATTATAGAGTATTTGGCTCTATATGCTGGAACGTCTTCTTTAGAAAGTTCGAGAATTTTACAGTGGCCGTAAATCAGATGGACAAGATGGGTGAGGTAATAATGATTACTGGATCAACTTCTGTTGATGAAAGAGACAAGCTTTTGAGCTACACAGAACTTTTCTTCAGGTCTGTGTAGCTGGAAAACGTGTCTCAGCAACAGCAGCTGGTTCAATAAGACCTCACCCGTTTTGTGTGTCTAATATTCTGGGACCAGCATGGGTACAACAACATGGAAAATAGATGAAATGATCATTTTTCTTTCAGCAGTCAGAGGGTTAGTGTAAAGGAGATCTTGTACTTTAATATTTCCCAGATTTTTCTTTGCTGTGAACCCGCCATCACGCTTCTGTCTGACCCTCATAGCAATCAGATCACTATTGCATATTTTGTTATTATTGTTTGTATTCAGGCCTGTGGACAGGGGAGGTGGAAGGTGGGAAATGGGGTGGTTGCTCCAGGGCCCAGTGATTCCAAGGAGCTTGAGGCTGCAGCCACCACTGCTGCTGCAATAGCAGTGACAGCAGTCAGAGCTCTGGACCCTTTAAATCGCTGCTGGGGTGCTGTGCTGTGCGTTCCAGATAGCACTAAGGCTTGGGAGGGGGTGCTCCATGCAACACTGAGGACTGGCTTCCATTGGCCCCACCCCTTCCAGGACCACAGAGCCATCCCCTCCATCTTGTCAGAGGCCCAAAGAGGCTGTTGGCTCCGTTGTTTGTATTACATTATTGCCTAGAGACCCAAATCAGGGTTCAGCATCTTGGTATATTAGGTGGTGTACAGATGCATAGCAAAAAATGGTCCCTTCTCCAAAGTGTTTGCAATCTAAGTATTCCACACTTGTGTGGTGTGAAGAATTTCACCCAACATCAGTAGAAGGTGGGTTTGCAGAACATGTAATAAACCTCAGACCCACAGTGTGGCTTAAAGACAAGAATTTTGTCTTGTATCTAATGCTCTTAAAAAATAAACTTAGGTTAAATTTAAGTTTCAGATACAAGTCCAGATTCAATGGGACTTTAAAAAACAGTTTGATTATTTGTGCATGCCTCCTATTAAGGTTTTTTTTTAATAAGGTGCCCAGAGGCTTTTGGTATATAAAACTTTACAAACGTGCAATCGCTACTATCAACTGTATCCTTGTCAGAAAGAAGAAAGTTTAAACATTCTTAGCAATGAGGCAGGGAGGTCATTTTTCTGTGTAGCTTAAGTTATGCAAATAGACCATTTCTGCTCAAAGCCTGTGAAAAGGGAATCTCTTCTGTGCTTGCATAACTCAAACAGCTGCATCAAATATGCACCCGTTTTGCAGAACTCTTCAATGCTGGGCTAAGACCAAGCATGGAAAAGTTCAGCCCAAGAGGAATTCATTTGGGAAAGTTTAGGAGCAGCGTAAAATAAAGGGAAACAGAATTCTTGCTTTCTATGCAGATTTGGAAGGCACATGGACACAGCTGGGATGCCACGTACCCATGTTTACTAACTAATACCATCCTACAAGGCTTGGCAACATACCGAAACTGCTGCTCCAACAGGGTTCTGGTGGCTTTTCAATGGAAGACAGGGTGGCTCGCTATAAGGCTTCCAAATTATTTAGAGGGCTACTGTAACCCACTCCGACCTGGTGTCACACTCTGTCTCCCTCTAGTATGCTTCAGGGGGTAGCTGAGTTAGTCTGTACAGGATAAACTTAAAAAAACAACAAATGGTCTGGTAGCACTTTATAGAGTAACAAAACATGTAGATGGTATCATGAGCTTTCGTGGGCACAGCCCACTTCTTCAGATGACCAGAGTTCAGATGAAGAAGTGGGCTGTGCCCACAAAAGCTCATGATACCATCGACATGTTTTCTTAGTCAAGTTTATCCCTCTAGTAAGTACCTAGACCTAATGAGTCTGCTATAGCCTTAGCTAAGAGCCATGTGGTTCATTTTAGTTCATGATAGCTGATGCTCCAGAGGTCCCAGGTTAGTCCCCCATCCAGCGCAGTGGGAGGCTATCAGTGTTTCAGTGATACATTACTACCCAATTCCTACATACGCTGTCGGAATGAAATTTTGAATCTGACTGTAACATTTGCTACTGACGACCCTTCTCAGGCACTTTTACAACATGTTCTTTTTCTGTTTGTGCCTTCTCTTTTGGCCATGTCTTAGTGTGTTTGAAAGGCACTAAAATTCACCTCAAGTGCTTCCTGGCGTTTTCCAACACCAAGACGTATCATGAAGCCAGTGAAGACTGCATCTCCCAGGGCGGCACCCTCAGCACCCCCCAGAACGGGGATGAAAATGACGGACTCTACGAGTACATGAGGAAGAGCATCGGGTCAGAAGCAGAAGTCTGGCTCGGTATCAATGACCTGGCAGCCGAGGGCAAATGGGTGGATATGACAGGCAGCAGCATCCGCTACCGGAACTGGGAGACTGAGATCACCACCCAGCCGGATGGCGGCAAAGCGGAGAACTGTGCAGCCTTGTCAGGGGTTGCCATTGGCAAGTGGTTTGATAAGAAATGCAAGGATCAATTGCCATATGTGTGTCAGTTCATGATTGTCTAATAGCAGAACTCCTACTGCTGACCTGTTGCCTGGGATATTCTGTTTGGCATCAGGAATATATATATGTAGTTTATCTATTTGTACATATATATATGCAAATAGATAAACTATTTGCAAATAAAGTCATCATGGCTCAGTAATACATTAGAGCAAGTTAGATCTATGCTGCATTTTAATTGGCTAAAAGCTACATCCAACTCCATTGCAGCTGCGTTGTTCTTACTAAGGCATGATTTATAGATATATTTTTTTAAAATTAGAAACATATTAAGATGGCTTATGTGATATAATAAAGAACCGCTGCAACACTCCGACTTTGCAAACCATACCAAAGGGTTCATAAGCCTCATTCAATTGTTGCTGTAGATACGTTTCCTGCAATTCCCCTTCCATTATTGCTGATTTTATCAAGCTATCCATGAACTAATCAAATCTTTTCCTCCTGTCAATTCATGATCAGATCCGGCTCCCCTTACTCTGGAAAGACAGACCGAGCTTTCATTCAGTGAAATCAGAATCCAGTGTAACTGAGACCAGTATCGATTTCATGCTGATGAACATGTTGTTCCTAGTGGTAGGACTAATTCTTCTTCCCTGACTTTTACACTTACAATTGAGATGCTGGCAGAATTGAGCTGTCTGATAATACGATGCTGTCTTATGAACTAGAAAGAAGACTGATCTATAAAGAAGGAGGGTGGTATTTTTCAGAACTCAGATTTGGCATCGCTCTTGTTCCATTAAACTAAATGGATTTCAATGGGAGTGGCTAGACCGGGTACTTCTGAAAATTCCACCTGAGAGCTTTATTTTGGAGGAATTACTGATTATTTACTAACTCATTCATTAATATATAGTTTGTGCATATGACTAGTGGCCAGGCTCTTTCGGAACACTAGAAGTATAAAAAAGTCCTTAAATCCCAAGAAAATCATATTTACCCCCTTTGATCTGTTTTTGTGATGGACTATATTGCATAACTGAACTGCTTTAGCACAGGTCTCTTGTGGCCCATCGGGGTTCTGTGTGTGGCCCACGAGACATTTTTTTTACTGTTGCCCACACACAGGATTGCTGGATTCTGCTGGTTTTCGTTCACATTTTTTTCCCTTATTGGTATTACTAAAGTGACACGCTTGTAAAGCCAGGGCACATGAAGTGACGTGCGTGCTGATTGCACACAACATTGACTGTGAGAGCTGTGTGCGCCCTCTGTAACCAATCAAAACCCTGCTATGGTTCAATTGGCACACAGCAAATTCTAGGGACGCAAGTGCAGTTCGCAAAACTACCCTATGCTGGGAGACTGTTGTGGTTACGACAACCTTGCGGCCCTCTGAGATGATGGAGGGCCACTCATATGATCCACTCACTAGCCGAGGTTGCCCATTGTTGCTCTAGTATCTGTTGAGTTGGCTTACTGGCCTCTCCACTCAGAGCCAGAGTTTCAGCTGGTGTCAATTGGTGTAGCTATGTTTGTTCCCCTGGCTTCAATAGAGCTCAGTGATTGACATCAGCTGAAAATCTGGCCCCGGCATTTCTTTGCTGGGAAGAGCATTAAAGAAAAATTTCAACAGAAACATTTGGTTTAAGAAGCAATGATGGAAAAGTAATGACAGGCCTATCCAGGGCAGTTTAATGAGGCTTTGACAAAGTTGTTTTTCTTAAAGTTTACGGAAATGTATCAGTGGTTGTTTAAGTCCACCATGCTTAATGTTAACCCATTGGCTACGTCTAGACTGGCATGATTTTCCGCAAATGCTTTTAACGGAAAAGTTTTCAGTTAAAAGCATTTGCGGAAAAGAGCGTCTAGATTGGCATGGACGCTTTTCCACAAAAGCACTTTTTGCGGAAAAGCGTCCGTGCCAATCTAGGTGCGCTTTTTTGAGCAAAACAAATCTGAGCTGTCTACACTGGCCCTTTTGCGCAAAAGGACTTTTTCCTGAATGGGAGCAGCATAGTATTTCCACAAGAAGCACTGATTTCTTAAATGAGATCATCAGTGTTCTTGCGGAAATTCAAGCGGCCAGTGTAGACAGCTGGCAAGTTTTTCCGCAAAAGCAGCTGCTTTTGCGGAAAAACTTGCCAGTCTGGACACAGCCATTTTGATTATTTATTCCTTGCACTGTCATGCAAAGGGCCTTAGATGTAACATGTTCTTCTAAAGCCCATTGGCGAAATATTTCAAGTCACTGATTTCTTGAGCAGAGTTTCTTTCAGATGTAATAGCAGGAGGGCCAAACAGGAAGACAGTGCATACTTCTGAGTCTATTATTACTGCCAAACGCTCTGCTGTTCACATGACTACAAAATAAATCTCTATAGCTTCACTCAGAGAATGAAGTCAATTGATTGAAACTGAATGTTTTCTTCGCCAGCTGCTGTTTCCTCTCAGAGCTGCTTGCTCCCCAGACCAGTGTGAGGATCAGAGTCATTAAATATGGAGAAAACTAGTACATGGTATGTTTGCAGGATTCTCCCATATGTTATAAGGCTATATGTGCACACAGCGTATATTCCATGTGCTGAAAGACAGTGATATATGCAGTGAATGCTTTCATAGCAAAATGGGATTTCCTTCCTTCACCATAAGGGATATTTCACTGCAATAGCAGGGCCTGCCTGGCAAAAAACCCATCTCCTCTCTCCCATCAACCCCTTGGAGTAGTGTTACGGCCTCTCATAACAAAAGGCACTGATATCGCTGGCTGGGGGATTCTGGAAGACTATGTCTTCACCCTCCATAGGGAGCTGCCCTAGCAAGGCCAGCTTCTCCTCCTTCCTGAGGGGAGGGGAGAGTAGTTACCGCAAACAACAGGAACCAATAATTCCTCATCAGGCTTCCCACTCTTAGGGCAGTGCCTGCTTCCTCCAGCTGAGTGGAGAGGAGACAAACAATAATGCCACCTTAGAATGCAGAACTGAACATGCGTCCGGTGGGTAACAGCTGCAACATTGCCAAAAGGGTTGGTCTGTGAGCAGAGCAGCTCCGTCTGTATTCTCCCTCCAGGGTCCCTTGAGGGCATCCACTTAGGCTCTCAGCTTCTCAACCATGACCTCTCCAGGGTAGAGACCCACATCTTTCTCCCTCCTGACTGGGGTTTTTCCAGGCTTCATAGTTCCCCATCTACTCAGGGCGCTCCCCAGCAAACCAGACTACCTTAAAGGCCAGAGTCTGTGGTTTTCTTTCTCGGTGAAGACCATGAATAGCTTGACCTCAGTCAGGTTATCACACAGCTCTTTATAAGCAAGCACATTGATTCTTACGGTGAAAACATGACAGAGGGGGAAAAGCTCCTATCAGGGTTGTAGCCACAGATAGGCCTCAGTGGACCCACTTGGTATCCAGACCCACCCAAATCTGGGCTGGCGTGCTCCCCACCCCCAATCCACAGGCTGAGACTCCCAACCCAAGCTTGGTGTCCATCAGCTTAGCAGCATCCTCCTCCTGCCAATGTAGCGTGCTGCTGCCAGGGCCTCCTGCTCCAGCACTAGCCCTGAGGGCGGTGTGCCTCGTAGGGCCGGTCTGGGCCAGGCTAGCACTGGGGTTGGAGATGAGGACAGCATCGCATGGCACCAGCAGGAGAGGGACGGTTCTGGGCTGACAGATACCAAGTTGGGGTTGAGAGGGGTGGGCAGAGCTCCAGCCTTTTGCAGGTTTCCTCTTCACCCCTGGACGCACCCTACAGTCTGTGCGCTCCACATGCCTACTAAACCATGGGGGGGAAGGGGAGGTGACCCCTCCCAACCCCCAAACTCCTGCTACCCTCCCCAGGGCACTAGCTCCCTCCTGCACCCCCACTCCTTACCCCTCTTCCCCAGGGCCTCCCACCCCTCCTGTCCCCTCCTTCCACTTCCCATCATTCCCCACTCAGAGGCTACATCTGGACTGGCATGATTTTCCGGAAATGCTTTTCCGTTAAAAGCATTTTCGGAAAAGTGCATCTAGATTGGCAGGACGCTTTTCCGCAAAAGCCCTTTTTGCGGAAAAGCGCGGCTAGATTGGCCACGGATGCTTTTCCGCAAAAAAGCCCCGATCGCCATTTTCGCGATTGGGACTTTTTGCAGAAAACAAGTCTCTGCTGTCTACACTGGCCGCTTGAATTTCCTCAAAAGCACTGACGATCTCATGTAAGATTGTCAGTGCTTTTGCAGAAATACTGTGCTGCTCCCGTTCGGGCAAAAGTCTTTTTCCGAAAAACTTTTGCGCAAAAGGGCCAGTGTAGACAGCTGGCAAGTTTTTCTGGAAAAGTGGCTGCTTTTCCAGAAAAAGTGGCCAGTCTAGACACACAGACAGACAGTTTTTCTGTCCTGGCCACAGTGCTGATTCCTATACACTTGCTAAAAGGGTCCTAGAGGTCACCCATCAGTCTCATGGGGCCAGTCCTTCCAACCTTTTCCAGGACGGGTTGGGGCCCTCCTTGAGTAGAAGGTCATGGCTGTTCCCTGGATCATAACGCAGACCCTGAGTCAGTTTCAACTCAGGTTGTTTGTCCACGTGTCCTTTCTCTGTCTGGTCCTCCTGAAGACCCCCAGTTCAACCGTGTGTTATGTGAGCTGCTCCAGCAGGCAGTATTGCTCTGGAGGTGTTACCGCTGAAGTGAATTTGTTTAATAGCCCTTCACTGTTCTTGGCTGGGGGTCACCCTCCCCCCATGGCTTTCCATATACTTCCTGGGCCACACTGATACAGTCATTGCAAAAGCATTGCAGGAAACGGCCACAGCATGGCAATGTGAAGCACCGCTAAAAACAGAGGTGAGAAAATCTACCAAGAGCACTGAAACAGTCTAGACCAGAAGTGCGGGCAGCCAGGCGCAGCTTCAGTGTAAGTGAGCCCCATGTACTCAGACTGATTTCCTAAGCTAAGGGCTTGCTCCCTTGAGACTGGGACACCCACCCATACTATCCATGTTTTGCAGGCTGATCACTGGCTGAACACAAGTCCTGGGGCCCAGATTTGTGATCAGGGAAGTTAATTTGAGTCTTTTAAAAAGGAGCCTTGGAACTGGACGTGGAAGAAATGAAACCTCCAGATCCAAATAGCTCCCAGCTCTGGGAAAGTTCTGAACTTTGTGGCTTGGAGCGTCTGTCTGCTTGGAGTGCAAAGTTTTAACAAATGGCCATGGAGCTGCCAAAAGGAAATAGTGGGAGCATAGGAACAAAAATCTACCAGATAATAAGCGGCCCTCAGTAGATTCACCGCCTCTCTCCGTACATGCATATGCATGCACACATGCTATACTAGCATAAAGAAATCCTACTTCATAGCTATTTTGCCTTTTCAGAGTCACAACTATTTCTTTCTTTCTTTGGGCCTATGATGCCAGGACTGGTCCAGGTTTTTGATAGCTCTATTTGTATCTTAACTTTTTTTTCTCGCCTTTGAAGGTGCTGAAGACTGAGCTTCAAAACTGCCCAAACAAGCCTTTTATATAACAAATAGAAAAACTGTTTGTCACTGGTCTCTGGGAAGTGGACGGGTGGATATAGGTACCGACATCTGTGGTTTAAGATGCCTGTGCCCCAGTACAAGGCTCCACCAGGGGAGCAGACAGCTTTGCTGGGCCCCTAGGCAAGGCGAGGGAGGCAGCTTTGCAGTCCTAGAAAGGGCAGGGCTTCTGGCAGAAGGGGAGGTGCCAGGGGCAAACAGCCCCCAACAATAAGTGGACTCTGCCCCACCCAGCCCTCAAAGTCACCCAGAGCGTGCCACAGTAGGAAAGTCACTCCATTGGCAACTTAAAGGGCCCGTCGTTGCAGGTGCTGCTGTCACCACAGTAGGAACAGCAGTGACAGGGAGTCCCAGGCCCTTTTGATTCTCTGGGCCTCAGAGCAGTTGGCTCCTTGATCCCCACCCCTTTCAGCAGGCCTAGGCTCCACTGTCATCCCACCAAAGTGCCTAAAGTCACGTAGGGTGTGTCTAGACTACAGGGTTTTGTCAACAAAACCCTGGTTTTTTTGACCTTTTGAAACAGGGTTTTGAAACAGGGTTTTGTTGACCTTTTGAACTCAGCAGTTTTGTTGACAGCGGCAAACCTCATTCTATGAGGAATAACACCTTTTGTCAACAGAGTTCTGTCGACAGAAGGTGTTATTGCATCTACATGTCCTGTGTGTCTACACTCTCGTGTCGACAAAGCAAGTTGCTTTGTCACAGAACTGGATGTAGTCTAGACACTCTTTGTCAACGGAAGCTTTGTCGACAGTACCTGTTAACAAAGTCTCTGTCGACAAAAGCCTGTAGTGACTAAATTATCAGGGTAGAAGTTCCCTAGGCACCTACAGTTCTGCCTGTAAAATCTTACTGCTTCCTTCTAGGTGCCCAGAGGCCTGTCTCTGGCCTAAGCCCTGGGGCGACTCTCAAAACATGGCAAGACAGGCATTTGGTCCGGAAGTCACATGCAGGCCCCAAGCTGGCAGGGGTACTCGGAGGCCACCCTCAGGATCAGGACCCATTCAAAATTTGTCCACTGCTAGACTGCTTGCCCACTTTTGACTCAGGAGTTAGAATACTCAGCTGGGGCAGATGCAGGTTCAATTTCCCTCTCACCTGAGGGGAGAAAGGATTTAGAACAGGGATCTCCCACTTCTGAGAGGAGCGCTCTAACCACTGAGCTATGGGATGGTCTGGGGGTGTGGTCCCTCCAGCTCTGCTGTTGAAGCTGATCCACTGTGGATAAACACGTACATAGTCGCTGGGCCAAAGCTCAGTGGTTTGGGCACAAAGCAGGAAGGTGAGAGACCCCAGGTCCAGCTCAGCTTCTACCAATCTTTCATCCTTTGGCCACACTGGAAGTGCTTCTACAGAAATG